TTAACAAGGTAATGGCGCCAAAAGCACAAAAAAGCAGCAAATGAGGTTAAAAGTGGTAAAATACGTAAGACTGGGGTCAAAAAAGAAGCTTGGATGCTTTCAAAGTGTATTTTCTGGTGTATTTTCCTAAAATTGTTCACCATTGTTTAAATTTGTCACCAAATTCTTACGGGGAAGTCTCAAGTTTAAAATACACTTGCTTGCACTTCTACCAAAGGCTTTTGAAGCACCATCTTCCACACATGGTCTTGTTCCAGGAGTTAAGAGCCTTTACGTCACAGGTGTCGAACTCCAGGCCTCGAGGGCCGGTGTCCTGCAGGTTTTAAATGTGTCCTTGATCCATCACAGCTGATTTAAGTGGCTAAATGACCTCCTCAATATCTCTTGAAGTTCTCCAGAGGCCTGGTAATGAACTGATCATTTGGTTCAGGTGCGTTGACCCAGTGTGAGATCTAAAACCTGCAGGACACCGGCCCTCGAGGCCTGGAGTTCGACACCCCTGCTTTACGTGATATAATACTAATAGACCCTAGGTTAAACAGAGGCCCAAGATTAAACTCAAAATCCACTGATTGCAGTGGAGTCAGGACTCCTCATTTCCCAGCATATCTCAACAGCCTAGCATCCCTGTGTGTGTGTTTACACAACCAGTTGAGCGCCACTGCAGGAAGCACTGCGGCCTTCATTTAATTAAATGCCAAAAGAAGATCTACAGTTTTGGTGTTAATTAAGTATTTAGTAGGGAATTATATGTAATAAGTAAGTCAGTAAGCATTTAAGTATTAGCGGTATGTTTGGTATCCACCAGATACCAAGAAAATATGGGGCGGTATTACCTATACCAATATTTTTATCTTCAAACGACAGGTTATGTGGGTGAAAGCAGTATGTCATGACTTATGAGATAAACCATCAATTTATAGAAACAAACTAAAGTATCGATCATATTGCATGAGTATCAGTCTGATACCAATCAATATTTGGATTGATCTGCCCACCTCTGGTAAATATATGCAATCAGAATCAATCTTTAATAATCCCTAAAAACATTATGCTGTATATTATTAAATGTAAGTGGGTAAGCATTGAGTAAAAGTGAGTATATGTTAAAATATTAAAAACTAAGGCTGTTGTGCATGTAATACAGAACAAAATAAGAACTGACAGTGAATTTTGAATTTAATTTTTAAAGAACAGAAAATGATGACGGTAAAGTCATTTCGCACGGCGCTTTCATATATGTACATTTGCCACACAGGATGGATGAACCATATATAGCACATTTGCTTCCCCAGACAATCTCGCCATTCCAACTTCTGTGCTGTACCGCGAGATAGATAGACCGTTTCTGGAGAACATATTTAGAGAGAGAGGGAGAGAAACAAAGAGCTTTGTGTTCATTAATCACCTGATGCCACAGCTCCAGTGGTCTTTGTAGTGTGGGAAATTATGAAACACAACCAGGCTCCCTTACCTTATGCTTAGCATGATCCTCGAGGGTGTTAGAAAAAAGCTTCCAACATTCAACAGTGCTTTTTTTCCTTTTTGACACAATGCATGTGTGTACTGCAACATCCCTTCATCCCCATCTGTACGGAGCAGATGCCGTCAGGATGCTTCTGGGGATTAAACGCCTCTCGCAAACACAATCTGCCTTCGCCCCCCCACTACCCATTCACATCTTCTTCACCTTTCCACCTTTCTTTCATTTTCCCCTCTTATTCTCCCTTGTTTATTATTTCAATTTTTTGCCAATGCTGACGCCTCCATTTGTCTCCACCCTCATATTTTAACGGCTTAATGCTCAATTGTTCATCACCATTCCTACCCAGGTGTCAAAAGCCGTTCAGCCTCCAGTGCTCACCACACGGGATGCATTTGATATTATCCATGTAAACTTGAGATTTAAACTTAAAAAGCTGCACTGAGAAAGCTGGCCTTGTGTTTTGGTTTTGAGAACAACTTTGCCATTTTGATTTAGTGCAATTGCCCAAAACCATGTTTCCAGACATCGCAATCAGTTGTCCAACTGTGCACAAATGAGCAAATCCACATCCCCTTGTGACTTGAAAGAGTTACAAATAATTAACTGAAAGTGAGCTGCTCAACACCCACCTTTACCTGACATAATTTACCTTATCAAATAAAAGATAGTGTAACAGATTTACAGAACAAAACAAATGTCATATACTTCTATCATTTTCCAGTATGTTACAAAATCAGGGCTTCAACCGTGTTATTATTTTTCACTCGTAATTTTTCTCACAACCGCTTTGATCCTTTGCTCACACCGAGGCTCCTGCTGAGTCTACTGGCTTATCACTGGCTCTGAGCTCTGTTCATGTTCAGCTGGGTGAAGGTGATTAAAGCGTCTGATTAGGTTTATTGTCACAAACATTTTGTGCTGATCTTCCCGTGATTGACTGTGGCAAACTCTGTGTCTTCACTCACACAAAGAAGAGTTTCCACGCAAACCGCTGCTGTGCATGAAAGCAATGGGCATACGGGAAGCTAACCAGCCAGTCACCAGTTCCAGTCCGTGGCCAGTCAGTCAGGGGCATCTCTAGTGTCATCCAGAAGAGGTCAACCTAACTGCTAATAGAAATCCCTCCAGGCAGAGCGCTTATTAACACAACTTGTTTATCAGTCTAGCTTGAGAAGACAAAAAATGCCCCCCACACAGCACTAGAGTGATAAGATTCCCTTATTCGGTTTGAACGTTTTCACTTTAATTTGTCTCCTCTCTTTGCTTCTCCTACATTTATTCCTAGAGCTGTTTTCCTGAAATTCAACCTTATAGGAAAAACAAAATCATGGTTAGTATGTTGGATTCAACATGAACCAGGCCAGACTGCCCTCCCTGTCACACGCCCGTTAAAGTCGCAGTGGCACAAGTTCATATCTACCTCTGTATATTTACTGAGAACGATATCTAAAATAAAAATCACGCTCGCTGTTAATGCTTTAAAGGCTGAGCATATACACGGGACTCTTTAAATGAAACATTATGTGCATGTTTGTGACAAAAACTCTGCGTGACAGAAAAAGAAGTAAATTGTGCATGTGTGTAGTGTGTGCAAGCATGGCTCGAGGGGCGAATGACTTTTATCCTTCTGTCAGAGGGAATGTGTCAGATTTCGACTCTTTTGTTCCTTGTCGCCGAGCCTTGTCGTTACGTCTATCCGCGCGCGCGCGTGTGTTTGCCTGCCATCCCTGTCGGCTTTAGTTATTAGTCACTGGCTCTGTCGAGAGGCGCCTTTTTTTCCCAAATAGTTTGGAAGTCATAAATCCATAAGCAGACAGATGTAAGCTGGCGACCAAATACAGACATATATTAGGCATTCCCCTGGATCCAGCAAGCTGCTTGATGGGACATAAATGTAATCATATCCTTTCTCCTAAATCCCTCAGAGCTTTCACATTCTCCCTTCACCATTGCTGATAGACTATTAAGATACAGATGCTACTGTGTATACACTACACTAAGTCTGTTGAGATCATTCTCATGTATACCATATGTCTCCCCTTAAATTTTGATGCACTGCGTCTTCTCTGAAGTGTTGATAAGACATTTGAGTGGAATACAGCAAGCATTATGGTCCATGGCATACTGTGGGCTGCAGTGCTGGAACGATCACAAAGAAAAAGCAGAATGAAACGGAGAAACTGAGCGAGCACATTTTGCAAAAAGGTTATTCAGCGTAGCATGTAATAACCAAAATGGAAACCGAGGTGATTTTCCTGTGTTTTTGAGGTAATCTGTCTGTGTGTGAGAATGAGAACGAGATAGGTCGCATCCTGTCTGCCACCCAAAATGTAAACCCTTTGAAATCATTATGCTACTATTACTGTAATTGAGTTTGAGAATAATACCAAATGCTTAAATAATACCAGATTACGAATTCATTATGATATGCTATAATAATGCTGGCCAGATGCTGCTGTTTTGTCTGGCCGGCAAATGAATCTAATCCAGACTGGACATCTGACAATGGAGGTTTTCATAACCCCCAAATGACTTTGAACAGGTTTCTGGTTGTATTCATTTGCAAAAAAGAAAAAAAAAGGGAAAAAGTACTAATTAAACACAGAAAAAAAGCACAGGAAATCAAAGCTGGCAGCAGCACAATGATTGTAGGTGAACAAACCCCACCACACCACAAAAAAAATCTGATATCTGAATCTGTTGTCTAGTATTGTTACATTAAATTAAAAACATGCTTTTCCCAATGTTAGTCCTAACATTACAGTTGAAACTGAGGCTACGCAAGGTTAAATGTTAGGTTGTTTACTGGAAATTTATGTAACAATGCAATGTTGTGGAGTGAAGCAGGAGCTATGCAATAAATGTCTAACCACAACTTAAACCTTCACGATTAATTAACTGTAAGGTTGTTGTTGGGTTTTTTCTTTTTTTACATCAGATACTTTGAAACTGTGTCATCAGTTTCTTAGTCAGAATAAAACTATTTGCACTGCTCAGAATTCCAGAAAAGCTGGGATAATGTTCCGGTTAGTGTGCCATAAAAATAATAATCAAAGCATCATACAAGGTGCTGGTAACTGAGGGACTGTTTATTTTTATATTATGGATAAGTTCACTTATAGAGCTGGTGAGCAAAAGTAAGACATCAAAAATGAAAGAAAAAAGTAGCAAAGTAATGACAAAAACAAATGCTGAAAACCCCCGAAACACACAAGTGTAACATTTTTAGTTTTGCAGAAATCTGTATACTGTAGCCTACTAGTTGTTGGTCCAACCACATGGTGGAAATGACTATATACTTCCCTAAATCGTACTATGTGTTTTTCAGATGAGTTGAATATGCAGAGCGAGCAGTTTTAGGGGGATATCTGATCATAACACTAATAAGAGAAGTTTTGTGTCACAGCTGCCTGGCGTCTGCTTGCAGGCACACAGTGGTGGTTTCGGAACAGGAAGCGCCGCCTTGACCCTTGCTTCCTCCATTGCGCCTTGTTTATGTTCCAACGACTTCCTGCATTTCTCTGTCATTTCTCAGGCTTGGAATAGGCTTGGCCAGTGGATAGATACATCATGATATATTTGTCTAGCGAAAGCTTATACATGTAGAAACGTAAGCTAAAGGCGGTGGGATACTTCCTAAGAAGAGCAGATTGTTGTGGTGTGATTGTAATGCTGGCTTCCAGTCACTAGAGGGTGGTTGAGCCTGAGCTATGTGAGCGGGACTCAGCTGTGGGGATACTTTGCCTGACAGGAGGTAAGATTATTGACATGTTTCACAAAATGATCTCTGCTCTGTGTGAAACATTCTTGGCATTCAGGCTAAATAGGAAAAGAAGAGTTCAGACACATACATGTAAAAAAAAAAGGAGCTGAATGTTTGATTTGATTTAATTGTTTTACTTACCAGTGTTATAATTTTTGCTTTTTAAGTTTGCCCAAAACAGACTTCAATAATTGCAGAGAGTCTTAGTAAAGTAAGTAGAATGTGACCGTTTTTATATGTATTTGCACTTTGTGTGTTTAAGTGCTGCTTTTTTTATAGTCTGCCTTATTGCGGTACATGTAGAGAGAAGAATACAAAACAGAGAGACTACATTATCTCTGCAGCAACTTCGCATACTGTAATTCCACTTTATCCACAAACGGCTCGAGTTGTATTCTCTGCTCAGAAGTTTTTCAAGGTTTAACGTGTGTGTGTGTGTGTGTGATAGAGAGAGATAGGCCGCTCTTCCTTTGTTTTATTAAACTGTCTTGAATAAAAAGTGTCAGCACAAGTTTGATTTTCACCAGTAGATTTGTGATGATAAACGCCAGCAAATGTCACTGGTTTGGTTTGGGCTTCAAAGGCTGGTTATAGGACTGCTCTGTAGTGCAGGAGCGTGGGGCACGGACCCATCCTTACTGACCCAGCGGGGCGTCTCTTGGCCAGACACTTGAGCTTCAGGCCCCAGGGGTCTGATACAAGCTGCCAAATCCTGAGAAGGTAGCTGTACTACAACCTACTCAAAGCAAAGAACGATACATGATTAATATGTGTCTGCGCGCCCTTTGTACTTGCTGATAAAATCAAAGACCTTTATCAAAGCTTTCTTTCTGAGGCCAAGTATTTGCCAGGGAAAGATCATGAATTGCCCCCTAACGTTTTACAGTATTTATTCTGTCTAATACAATTAGTAGTTATATGCTATGCATTTTTTTTTCCAATTTATATTTTGTGCGTAAGGAAAGAAATACATCAAAATTAATATTCGAGATTTATTTGATGGGATGATAGAAGTTATATGGCATCACAGAAATCTTGACAATCTTCAAAGGAACCAGTGGGAATGGCTGAGAGGTCAAAGACAGCTTTGTGCTCTTAAAAGAGAGGAAATTGATTATAAGATGTTAAGCATTAAATGTAATGTTCATAATGGGCTGACACAAAAAACAAATGAGAACATTCATGAAACGACTGTACATGCAAGAAAGTGAGAGAGAGAGAGGCAGGGAGAGGGCTGCACATGATCTTGATTGGGAACAGCTTTAAACAAATTAGGGTAATTCTGGTGCCCAGTTTGAAGTAAAAAAAAACACAATACCGATTGTGGCAACGTTTCCTTTTAAACCTAAACAAGGAGGCTCTTACAGTGTTGTATTAGCAACATATTAATGCAGGTCTAGACAAAGAGAAAGGTTTTCAGTTTGTATCCTTTAAGAACAGCTATCCCGTCAGCCTTACCACAAAAAGTCATTAAAAAGCGAAAGTTTACATAAACAGTTCATTCAGTTAAACATGTTAAATATGTACATTTCAGCTGGGGGAAGCTATCAAAACTCCAACTAATATTACTCCTTCGACATGTTGTAAACTGCAGACCTATGAAATACCGCTCACATGCTTTAAATTCTGATTTGGTCTAGGTTCCTGACTACGCCTTCATTTGGGTTTTCATCATACAGCTATGCTGAAGGGTATTATTATTATTATTGTTATTATTATTTTGCAGCTTGGAAAAGATCGTTGTTCGTGCCGAGGGATTTAATAATTTCTCCAATTTTCCCAAAGGTTCAAATGCAATGTCAAATACAATTACAAAAATGATTTTCATGTTACTTAAAGCCTTAATTCTAATGAAAATTATAAAATTAATTATTTGCTCTTTTTGAATTTTATGCCAGTAGCATACTTTTGAAAAAGGGGCCGTGTCATCACAGCTTCTTTTAACAGCGCTCTGTAAGTGTTTGTAAGTATTTGCATCAGCAACCAGGTTTTAAAGCAAAATATTTTCCCATTCCTATTTTATATGGAAGTTCAGCTGGAAGAGTTTTATTACGTTATATGTTAAAGTGTCAGTCGGTGGCAGGTCTGGACAGCTGCTAGTCTTCCCAACTCTGAGCCGTGCTGTTGGAATACCTCCAAAAGTTGTTTTAGCATTGTCTTGCTGAAATAAGTAATGACTTCTTGAAAGCATTGGATGATAGCATGCATTGCTCAGAAACCTGTATATAAGGCATTGGTACCTTCACAAATGTAAAAGTTCGCTATGCAATGTATGCCATCGCATTTGTGATATTTTTAGACATTTTTCCACTTTATGCCAGGTCATGCTACAGAGAAGGTGACAGTGTCTGTGAATGCAACTGTTACTTTCGGAACTATTTCTTAGCTTATGCAGCGATTTCCATCCTTTAATTTTCTAAAACACTTAATCCAGTATGGGGCTGCAGGAAGGTGGGTATACTGGGACTATCCCAGCTAATACAGGTAGCAAGAGGCCTGCACTATGAAGTAAGTTCAGCATGCTAGGGGTATATTTCTGTTAAGTGAATTCACTAACCCTAACATCAGCACTGACGATAAGCAGTCACATGAAGCTGGTTACCAACTTGTCAAATTAACGTAGGGTTTCCTAATTTAATTATAAGTGTGTTCACATGAAAAGGTTGCTGCTGGCACCATCTGACCAATCACGAACGTGGATAAGTCCTGGCAGAAGACTGGCTGATCAAACAAAGGAAGAGAACTATAATTTTAGAAAAATATGAAGAGGTTAAACATACTACAGCGTGAAAGCAACACAGCCAGTGCAGACAGCACTGCCATATGAGTGAATGTGAGAGGAAAAGCACTGTACAGGAGTTTAGTGTAAAGAACGTATGAATGCATGTGAGCTCTAGTCAGTAAGACTGGAAAAGAGCAACTATATTGAAGACAAGAAGGAAAGCTGGCATGCAGACTGTGTAAGTCAACAGACAGCGTAATATCAGATCGCATTAGGACACAGGAGAATCTGATAGTATGTCATAAGATTAAAACAAAGAGTAAAGAACAAATATAAAAACTAAATTCATCAGAGTACATGGAAATTTGACCCACAAATACTAATAGGTGTGGTGTTTAAGGATCATATCAACGCTTACAGAACAAATAAACTGTTTTAAAATAAAGTGTTGGACCTTCCTGCTCTACACCCACGAGTTCCCAGGAATCTTCCAGGAATGGAGGCGTTATTTTCTTAGTAAATATATCTCAGTTTTCACCTTGTAGTAAATTAAGAAGACAAAGAGTTACAGGATGATGGTGGTTAAAATTTCCAGGTGTGATATTAAAGATACGAGGGATCTTTAAAATAGAGAAATGATTATATGCTTATACTGTAATAATATTGATAATTTAGCAGTCATCCTGAAGCACCTGAAGGTAAATTGAACTGAAATGAATAAACAAAAACACCATAGACCTTGAGATGTTAGGGCACACGCAGGCACACTCACACATATGTAGAAACACACTCACACCATGGGAGAGAGAGACGGAGAGAAAGACAGATCCCTGAGTTACCTAGCTGCTAAACACTGAAGAGAGGAGAGTGAATTTGGAGTGACATCCCAGTTATTGCTCTTGACATTTGTGCATCGTCCAGGCGCATATGTGCAGTAAAAGCCGCACCTAGGGGAAACTCTGTGTGCGTGTGTGTGTGTGTGTGCGCACACACTGATGAGCTAAGCACAGCTGAGGACAGACAGTGAATGAATAATAAAGTGTGTCAAACCTGACCTATGCGGTCACTCTGCTGAGACTTTCCCTTGTTTGACCGCCTCCCCAACCTCCTCTCTAACACACACAGACAAAGCCTCTTGTGCGCTAACTTTAGAATGATGAGACACCAATGATTGTCTTTGTTTTTCAGCTTTAACATACAGCAGCTATTGAACTGTGAAAGTGAATTGGACAGGGATCAACCATATAATATAGTTTTGACAGCCTTTGAAGCGCATCCGCTCTGCCCCCACGCTTCTGCTGATTGCCCCTGAGCCCTCTTTCTCCTCTGCAAAGGCATACTGTGGCATTTACAAGGTACAGTGGGCAGCGGGACGCACATTAGAAACAACTAAGCATACATGGATGGAGAGCGAGGTAACAGTGATTTAGGGTGAATCATTTTGGTTGAGTCAAACAGCGATGCGATAGCAAATAAGAAGCTTGGCAAAAAGACAATTTGCAGCTGGTGACCATCACAAAGGAAAAAGTAGTGCCCACTAATCAATGTGAAATGCTTTAATGTTAACATATTTTATAAAATATGCTCTTACTAAGTGCAAGACAGGGAAGCTTATCTGGGAGCTACAGATGGCTGGCAAATAAAGGAGAAAACAACAGAAAGTGTCTATTGATCGGTCCTCTCCACCATGATATCACCAAGCTTTTCCAAGCCTCTGCATCCCAAAAATATGTTTAAGAAAAAAAGTATATATTTTTGGATCCTTTTAATGATTAAATCAATAACAACAACTTACATCACAATTGTTTGTCCGGATGAAGAATATTCCAGCGTGGCAGTAGACTGTTACTATCGATTTAACAAAAATGAGTGAAGAAAATTTATGAATGGATTTTTTGCTGCAGGCTGGTAGCACCCTTAAAGACTTCAAGAGACTTAATGAGTACTGTAGAGCCTGTCCTTCCTGTGCTGTGCATTTGCAGAGAAAGGCATTCTTTCACAGGATACCCGCTCACTCATGTTTTAATGGTGCAAAATAGCCTGAAACCTCTTATATATGTACAGTGGCTGAGGTCTGACAATGGCAAAGAATATGTGATTTAAACTACTGAGTGTGAGTAAATTTTCTTCAGAACCTGAAAATGATGTTTCCCACTCCCCCCCCCTATTTTGATCTGTATTTGTGAATGACAAGTGAGCACCTTGCTCACTCAGACTCCAGGGCAAGACTGACTATTTATCGCTGGCTCCACCTTCTTGCTCTGAGCTACAGCTCGGTCATTGCTTACCTTCCTGGTTAAGAGGTCCTGTGTCTGATGCCTGTTTGGTTGTGGTGCCCAGTCTTGAGCAGCTCCAGCTCAGTCAGTATCAGCAGGGGGATGTCATTGCCTACATATTGTTCTTTGATTGGGCGACTTAGTAAAACATCATTGAGAAAAGACCCTACATCAATCAGAAGCACTCCTGGAGAAAAAAAAAAGAGATAAATGGGCCAAACTACTCAAAAGAAGTTTTTTGTTTTTTATTCAGTACAATTCAATTTTATTTATATATAGAGCCAAATCACAGGAACAGTTGCCTTAAGGCGCTATTTTAAAAGAACAGCAGGGTTTTTCCTGGCTCAGAATGGGTCTTTAGGAAGTTATTATGTGCTTAAGCCCCCAACAGGTCATTGCAGATCGGCGCCCTTCCCTGAAACTGCTTCTGCCAGAGTTTTCTTCCTGTTAAAAGGACGTTTTTCCTTCCCACTGTCATTGAGTGCTTGCTAATAGGAGGTTATTTGATTGTTGGGATTCTCTCTTTATTATTGTAGGGCCTTTACCGTAGAATATAAAGTGCCTTAAAGTGATTTTTGTTGTGATTTGGTGGCGTATCAGTAAAAATGAATTAAGCACAACTGGCTATGCATATTGTTTAAACAAGTCTGTGTTAATTTACCTGATGTAAGTCAGCACATTTGCCTGTTGTTTATGGCTATACACAATTGTTTTCAACATCTAAAAAATGGCAATATTTGTATCACAGTACTGGTGATTCTCCTTTGGTGAATGGTCATTAGCTCTCTGGTGGGTGCCAAGATTTTTAACATCCAGGAAAATTGTACTTAACGGCTTATGCAGTTGTTAATGTAGCATCACAAATGTGGTCTAACTCTGTTAGAAAGCTGCAGAATAATTTTGACTTGTGCCCAGCATGCATTTATTGTTATAGTTATTGGCATTTTGTTTTTACAGTTTTGGCTGAGTGTTGAACAATAGCACAAAACGTTGTGGCTCAAACATTAAATCAGACTTGTCCATTTGTGCATTTGTCATGAGTCTCTTCTTATTTGAATGTTTTCTGATGATTTTCAGGAAAGGGAGCAGTGTGAACCCATATGGAATCTTCATGGGGTGTTTTCATGCTGTCATTTTGTGAAATAAAATCACAGTATGTGATCAATATCCACTGATTGATTGAAACATGTGCAAACTTAGATAAAATACAGTTTTTAAGCCCTAACCATAGTTTGTACAATTATAATGAGTTTGAAATTCAGTATTTGGTATCATCACCTTAGCAGGCTTTCTTGTAATTTCTTTAAGCAGTCTTTAGAATTAGTTCTCCAATCTGAGGAACATTTAAAGCTCTTCTTTGGATGGTGAACGCATGTAGTTTCCTCAATTGCGTTAAAGGACAACCTGCCAATATCTGCCAAATTTTCCCTCAATGCATTTGGGAATCACAATGTTGGTGCACAAACACATGCCTGTGGAATTGTCTTATCTTTGGTATTTTTCATAGATTCAGCTAAAGAAATTGGTACAAATTATGTGTTTTTGCAACAAACTACTAGCAACAAAGTGTCTACAGATGCTATTTAAAATTGGCTATTTGCTAAATTATCTAAAATGAGTCCAAAGGAAAACTTTGAAAACCCTTCAAAATTCCTTGAGAAATATTGCTCAAGAGCATTAAAAAAAAAGTCTTACAAGAAGGTACTTTGCAAACAAAATATGAAGAAATAAAGGTTGCCTTGAGACTTTTACACAGTACTGTATGACAAATAATTAGCTTTATTTCACAAGTTATCAAAGTCAGGGTTCTACTAATAAATGCACAAGTTGTCCCAATTTCATTGACATGAACTAATGGTTCCAACCAAATACCATTGTCTTATCAAACAGGTTATCTAGGCAAAAACATGGCCTATTTTCATCTGATATATTTTTCTGTCTGGCTTCTACTTCACAAACCATGTGCCAAACGTTTCTCCACTTTTTGAGTCCTTTTTCTGGCCTTCATGTGAATTTTCGCAGTCTGGATGAGGACCAGTTTTTAATTAATTTCGGCACCACATAAAAAAGGCTACGTAACATATAAGAAAACCCCCAATATTTACCGCCTGCCAAATTTACTTAGTTTCCAATGTTCAAGTTCAAGTTAAATTAAGTATGCGATGTCATTTTTAAAAATGAAAAATCTGAATTAAATCAGCCAATGAGTGAACTAGGAAAGAGCGGTGTGGACCAATGGGGAAGAAGGAGGGGGGCACTGCAATGTATGCAAATTAGACAGTTTAGTCAAGGTCCTCGCGAGCTTAACAGGTGTGTGAAAAAAAAAACTTTTTATTTTTTTTCTGCGGCCGAAGGGTGAGTGTTTTATTCTGAAAGTTAACCATTATACTTCGATAGCAGTAGACGTACTAAAAAAAGAAATAGTAGCCACAACTGCCTTTAAGCGAAAATATCCCAGTTTTGGACTAGCTTGCTTTCATTGTAGGCCAAAGTTTAGCCTCGGGCTAAATGTAAACGTCACCAAATCATTTAAATGACTGACTGCAACTATTCCGGCTCAAGGTGTGGTTTCTCCCTCGCAGTTTAGTGCAGGGCAGGTGACACTGAGGATTTTACATTACACGTCTGGGTTTGTTTTTTTTTTTTGAGTAAACCCACCTACTACAAGGCAGCATTTAAAATTGGTATTATTTGCTAGCCTGGTAGACATTCAAAGGAGCCTACTTACTGTAGTTGGCAGAAACCTGCTTCTAAGGCAGATGGAATATAAAGCTTGTGGTTTTGAAGTGTTTTACAACTTATGATAGTGGCACATTCAAAGTTATTCCTCTTGACAGTCTACAGCTTCAGGTCAGATTTTACCTCATGTGTTTTAGATTTTACCTTCTGGTTACACATCAGTTGTAGACTTTTAATAGTTTGTTCTTGGAAAGAGAAATGTCTTGACTTGAGGAGTAGCTATTGTGAAGAGGAAACAAATTGACTTCTCCTGCCCTTAGTGTCTCAGCTTTTGTGTAATTTGCCCAAATCTTGTCCTGTATGTGTGCATGCATGTGTGTGTAATGTGAAGTGAAGTGAAGAGAGAGAGTGGAAAAGAGGTGGTGTGGCAAGAGGGAGAGAGAGACAGAGAAGTGACACAAATCAATGTGAGCACCCAAACCACCATCACCAGCAGCAGCAGCGGCGGCAGTCTTCCCCCTCTACCGACCTCCATCACCTCCCTGTCTTTCAGTGAGAGAGACCAGTGGAGAACGGGAGTCACAGGAAAGACGGGCTCCTCAGCAGCGCAGCATCCGGTAAGTCGTTAAAGAGCTAGGGATACCTCCCACCTTGCAGTCAAAGTTGCAGAAGCGAAGGCAACAAGGGCAGCCTGGCAGTGCGACTTTGCTCTCCAAGGCTCAGAGCATGCAGAACAGGGTACACGGTCGTGGATGAGCACCTTTTTAAATTTTTAAACCCCCACCGCACAGCTTCTCTTCGCTTCTTCTGTGACGGCTGCTTCTGTTGCAGCTACAGCACAGAGAAAATATCGCTTGGAAGAGGACAGCGTGAGAGAGCCGCCGCTGGTCCTCCTCCAGTCATATGTTTTAAAAGCCTGCTGGGGATTAGGGATTGGATTGAGGGAGGCTTTTTTCCGCCAATCACCGCCCTGCCTCTCAAAAGGCAGGAGAGGGATGGTGGACGAGCTGAGGAGAGAGAGCGGTAGTTCTCTAATGCTGTAATGTTTCTATAGATACTTACATTTTGCCCGTGGCTTTTGTTTTTGTTGACACTGTGGGTCTGTGTGGGATTAACTGGATCTCTTAAGTATCTATTAGCAAGCATGTGAAAAACTTTTTTTAAAGGGCTGTGCTTATACTGGATTTAGAAAATTACACGTGCATGAGGTGCACATTTGTGTTTTTCTTTGGTGAACAAAGAAAACCGTTCTGCATTTGCAGGGAATCAGCTTCAGTTGCATCTGTAATTGTTCAAGGTTTTCATCAGAATATTTTGGGTTTATTTTCCTTTCTCATCTCTCATCTCATTTCCTAGAAATGAGATGAGAGATGAGATGAAAGCCTTTATTTGTCAGTTGCAGGTCTTTTGCCCACAACCGAAATGACAGACCTTGCCGACCGTACATACAATACACAAACATCACATTGGGGAGACAGGTCAGGCTAGGTAGCGAGGAAAAAGAAACATTGAAATGTGTAACACAAAAGGATGATACAGGAATGCACAGATATCAACACAACATAACACAATAAACACAGACAAGCAACATGGGAAAGAGTTCCAGTGTGTACGTCTGATCTGGGACCGCTGCAATCTTCGACTGCGCCTCCAGCTGACCCGATGTCCACATCAGAGAAGATGCTATCAGTAATTTTGCTATAACAGAATTAGCTGAGTTTGTCATTTGGTTTGGTTGCCATGTTCGTCTTCGTCTAAATTATGCATCCACTTTAATGGCTTTAATCAAACTCCATAGGCTTACAGAATGAAGGGCAGCAGGGAAAATAGTTTAGAACAGGACTTGTGCTAATGTCAAAGCTTTCAAATTAGGACAATTATAGTAACATGATTATCTACAAGACAGTGATTGAGGGGCATCTTTATTCAGTATTAAAATTGTCTTAATCACAGTGAGATAGCTTGGCTTTCTAGTTTTGGCTGGTTTTTAGTGTTGTTTCACAGCAAGAAGGTCCTGGGCTCAAATCCTGCTTGGGGCCTCTCTGTGGGGAATTTGCATGCTCTCCATGGGTCTGCGTAAGTTCTCACCGGATACTCCCACAGTCCAAACACATGGATGAGGTGATTCTAAATTTGTCACATGAATGGTTGTCTGTCTCTGTGCATTAGCCTTACGATCGATTGGTGACTTGTCCAGGCTGTATGCCTCTTTTCACCCTATGACAGTTTGGATAGGCTCCAGGCCTCCACAACTCTGAATGGGATAAGCAGATGAAGATCGGTGGAAATTTTATGTGCAGATTAAAACCCTGACCATCGGTAGCGACCTCAGGTTACGCGACCTTTTACCACTCTCACTTAAGCCAATAACAAGCAAAATAGTCTTTTGGATAAATAATAAATCCCTGTGAAAATGAGTTGTGGTACACCTAACTTTCATGTGTATGTGTCTGCATTGTTTTGTAATTTCACCTCCAAAGAGTTACATCACTCCTACAATACTTCACTAACACCATTAGAGGAGTTTGATTCACTGACTGCAAGGTGCCTAAGTCCAAATCATCACCCCACTACCACCATGCTTGATGTTGGTACGAAGTGTTTGTGCTGATTTGCTGTGAATTGCTTTGCTTAATGGGTAAACATCTCCACCTTGGTCCAGAGCGATCTTTCCAGAGCTCTTGTGGTTTGGTCAGATGCAACTTTCCAAACCTAAGTGGTGCTGCCGTGTTATTTTTAGAGGGACAAGGCTTTCCCCTGGCAACCCTTCCAAACAAGCTGTACTTGTTCAGTCTTTTTCTAAATATGTTGTCATGAACTTTAACATATAACATATTAAATGAGGTCTGAGATGTAGCTTTTGTTACTTGTTTGCACTTTATCTGTGCCTTACTTGCCTCGGCATCCTGCAGGGTAAAGCCTCCCTTTATTGCATGTGGTGCTGTGTCAGTGACTGTAATTTTAGGGTCAGCATCTTCCCCTGTCCGTCGTTCTTTAAGAGACTTAAAGAATGAGAGGCGGTAAAAGTCAAAGCTGCTCAGGTGTAAAGAGATTCTGCCATAAAACAGTGTTCTGTTGGTTCAGGGATTGTGCTTCTGTGTGATCTACGTTTTTACTTCTAAAGTAGACTGCAAAGCTCATTCTTTTACCATCCAGTCTCGTCTGACACTATTAGTATAACTGAGCTACTAAAGATTACTGAGGTAAAACCATTTTTCTCCATTAGCAAGATCTGACTTCATCATCTATAGTACATGACAAATGACGGATAAAGCAGCTGTATTTTTATTTCTGACATATTGCCATCAGAGCTGTGGATTTTATTATTAGGCTATTCTTTTCTGTGCTATTCTGTATTCAGAATTCCCTGCACCCTCTGTGCTTGTTTTATTTGAACAACCAATTGCAGTCATTGCTGAGTGATACTGTATCTGCACCGAATGTGAAGTGCGTCTGCTATTTACAGTCCTACAGTATCAGTTGATGCTGCGCTCCCAGTTGTTATTGTGGGAGCTTGGCAGCGGTGGATATTGTTATCTGTCCGTAGCATCAGGGATTGGTTTCCGCTCTGTTTTAGACAGTGATGAAAACACAAACATGTACTGTACACAGAAATACACGCACAGACAGGCACACTGAGTTTGTTTGTTACATTGTTGTGCATGTGTGTCAAAGTGAGTGTATGCATGTCCCCAGGCCCACGGAGCGAGACACATTGTTAGATGCAGGTAAGAGTCAGACGGAGAGAGACATCTGTCAGTCTCTGAATGGTATTTTCCCAATGCGACTGATGAGGTGCTCTTTCTCCCTCGGTCATAGTCCCGCTCTTTCTCTCTCACACACACACACACGCACACACGGATGTTTGTGCACACGCATATGAGGTTAGGGCTCAGGTGAAGAAGCTGCACGTTTGAGTGTCACTGATTTAACGGGGTGTTGATCTCGTACAAGACAGGAAGCTGTAAACAAATCCCCCAACATGTGGTGACTTGCTGGAGCATATCCCTCTCTTCTTTCGCTATCAGAGTATGTTTGTGTGACTTGTAGACTAATGAAATATAACAGCTGAGTGTAAATTGGAACAGACAGCAGGCATTTGAAGTGGAGCTTTGTTTGGTTACAGTAATTATTCATTAAACACCTTCCAAGTAACTTCCAGTAAGTGTGTTATCTTTGAATGACTGTCCATATTTTTAGCTCACTGAGAGATATGGCTGTGCAGTAATTGCACTTTGTAGTTCTTAAATGCTTGTGCTATTATCAGTTTGGAGAATACAATAAAAAATTTGGTTAGTTTAAGTTTATAATCTACAAATGTGGTTAATGGGGTTTGTGAAATGCATCTTATTTCCCTAAACATCACTTTAGCCAATTTATAAATTTGGCCAAAATGAAAATAATAAACACATGCAATGAAAGTTTAATGAACTTCAATTTGATAGTGCATAAAAATCTGAGCATCACCGCCTCCCAGCCCTGCCCAGTACTGGGTGGTTTTTATGATGAATTGTACAAATGGGGACAGTCACTGTCTGATCCATGTCAGGTTGAAGGTTGTTTGAAGGTAGGGCTGTTCGATATAACGATATATATCGGATGACGATATGAAAACGTCTATCGTTTTATATTACGCTATCGTTTGTTTTGTGGTGTCGCAAAATAAACTGTTTACGGCAATATATAATTTTTTTTTGATGGTCACTGTAGTGGGTATATTAATTTCTTGAAGTTCTCTTTTTCTCTTATATTTATAATAACCACACTACAGACGAATAAGCAACTGTTTTTACTCTTTGTCGTTAGCAACAACGATGGTAAACACAACATGTGGCTCCGCCGTCCGCTTGCTTATTTTCGACATAAGCCTTTCACAATAAAGCTGAAGATCCTGTTGAGATTTTTCAAAATAAACTGAAATAATGACAAACAGGCCAGTCAAAACAAATTGAGGACCTTGCTCCCGAACATGGGGCTACCTCTGTAGCATGGACATGGTTTGGTTATGAAAAGTCTGACACCGATCAGAAAACTGTACTATGCAAATTATGGAGGAAACTGGTCCCTACCTCAGAATCAAACACGGGAAACCTTTTCTACCGCCTACGTAAGAATCACGTGAAAGAGTATGGAGAGAGTTTATGGATGTGATACAAAAAAAGAGCCGTCACGTGTGTAAATGACCTTTAAATTTGGTAAATATTTTTCACGTTTGTTTGAAAGGCACTTCGGTTTTATTTTGAAATCCATGCTTTTATTTTGAAACAGGAAACTGGCACAAAACCGTTAAAGGGCTGTCAGTAACGTTTCTTTTAGGATATGGTAAATGGCATGCCTTAAAGTGAAAAATATGTACGTTTACTTTGCCAATTAGTACCTGGCTGACAGTGGCACAAGGTTTGTTAATGTTTCCTTTAACGGAATAAGTTACATGCAATCAAAATGTCGTTTAATAGAGTTTATGTTGTTAACCTTGACCTTGACCTTTATGTGTAGTTGTAAGTTAGTGAGGTGATATGATGAATTGAGTGATGTAAATTTTATGTATATGCTATATGTGAGCAGGAGAAATTTGTTTCCTTTGATGTTATGGTATTAATATTGCTGGTTTTGTTTT